GGGCTGCGATTGGCTCACTATTAATTCGAAAATAAAGGTATTCGATTTCGCCTGAAGACGACGGTTGTAAACTGTTGAAAGTACTAGCGAGCACGTCTGAAATTTAACAAATCGCTGTCAATAACGCTGCAACACGGAAGTGTCAAATTTTTAATTTATCAGATATTTTATTTGTTACAACCCAAATGGGTTATTTGATTTAAATTTAAAATTCATCCATTATTTGAAATATCAAATTAATTCTTTGTATACTTTTTTTACTTACCAATTACAGTCGAACCCCCCATAACACTGTTGATAATTCCATTTTATATGAATTCCATGTTGTACGAGTCACTTAGATTTTACAAATACGTGTGCTGGGCTGTAAACGACTCACATATTTGTAAAATCTAAGTGACTTCGTACAACATGGAATTCATATAAAACGGAATAATCAACAGTGTTATAGGGGGGGTCTACTCTATAACAATTTTTATTCTGATAAAATTTTTTTTTATTAATTATAAATAATTATAAAATGTATGAAACATTTTAATTAATAAACATTTTTGGCTCATCATTAAATTTGAGAAAATTATTGTGAAATGAAATGTATCTATATGAATTATTAATATCTTTATTAACAAAAAAAGGGAATTGTCCTTGTTGTATCTATATGAATTTAAAATGCCCATTTTATTTTAGACTTTGTTACACTGAATTTTAAAATATTATATGTACTGTACAGTTATTTGTTAATAATAACTTGATGACAATATAATCTATTTATAAATAACTTTTGTTTTTCCTTACAAAACATATATGAAAAATATTTTCTGTTAAAATAAACTTTTTATATAGAAACAATTATTCAAACAATATATACAGTACATGGTAAAAGTATCTTGTTTCTTTTAAAAATTAAGTAAAAAGATATTAAATTTAAGCTTATTTGTTTTTTATATATTATGTATAATATTTAGTTAATATGATGTTAAATTTAATATTATGTTTAAAGAGTAACATTTTTATTAAAGATCATAACAAATAAAAGTAAATATTGATTTAAAAAAAAATACTCTTTTCTGAAATAGTTGATTAGAAATTTGTTAAAAGAATATAGAAATTAGTTAGAAAATGTTATTATATGTTTACTCATAAAGTAATAAATGTAGAATATCGTATAGTTAAGCATTACATCATAAATGAAAATTACTTTTTTTAATTATTAAAATGCATAGGGATATTATGAT